GTCGAAAAATCCCCATGCAATGAAAACCAAAATTAGTTGGGGTTCCAAGTCAAGTTATGCACTCAATAAGGATGAGCAACGTCTTGAGTTGGTTGCTTGCGGGAGGGGTAAATAGGATAAATATATTTGTTGACAAATTTGTATGGATTTATATTTGCATTTTGAAGTTTTTATATTTAAATGCCAATTGATTCGAAATTTAATTACGAGCCTAACGAGGTATTACATTCCATATTCATCTTTTTCATCTTACTTTTTGATAACTGGTCAAAACTTAAAACTTTACGGCTTGACTGCCAATCGATTGTCAAATTTATCCATTTCCTAATGTCGCACACCAGGCGAACATAAACGCTTAGCAGGTGTAGAAAAGATCAGCTGATCAGTTTAATCAGAGCTCACTTGGAGATGACCTCGTGATTGCTTCCTTTTGGCACGGCCTAAGCAAATACATAGGACTTAACTGATATTTCGTGCATATCGTGACAAACTCGTGAAAAGCTCGTGAAACGGCCATGGTTGCTCATCTCTAGTCTGCGTTTGGCTCACAACTAACGGTTCTTTCCCATGGAGATCAGATCCTATTGGTCAGTGGGAGGAGGGGAAATATGTAAAGGGCGGCCATCTTGAAATTGAACAGCTGTTTAAGTTTACTTTTGGCTACCAGCTGCCACTTGCTAAGTTTTCTGTTTGCCTGGTGTCTGAGAGCCACAAATCCAGCACTTAGACTGAAAAAATGTTACGAAGCCCTTCAATATGTTTAAGTAAATTAGCGATTTTTCAATTTCAAGCAACAGGTGAAAAGGAAAATTCGTAGGTGGCCAACGATTAGTTTTTAAGGCTTGACTAGAGGTGTGCCTTTTCAAAAAATCGAAGGCCTCTTGTTGCCGACCAAGCGATTGCGCACCTCTAGTCTCCTTATACTAAACTAACGGTGTCCTTCCATTAAAAAAATGTTAGCGCCCAGCAGCCACCTACTACAGATTATGTTGGCCTGGTGTCAAAGATCAAGAAATTAAATTTCAGACCTCATTGAAATGTCAATTTATAGAAATCATAAAACCAAAATACCTCATTTGCTCGTCGAGAAATTGGTCAAATTGCTTGGTTTCTTAATTTCAGACACCAGGCGAAAATAAACGTTTAGTAGGTGTAAAACAATCAGCTGATTAGCTTAATTCAAGCTTACTTAGAGATGCCCCAGTGATTTCTTCCTTTTGGCACGGCCTAAGAAAATACATAGGACTTAACTGTTACTTCTAGCTTATCGTGACAAGCTCGTGACAAGATCGCGACAAGCCCGTGACATGCTTCTGACACGGCCATGGTTGCTCATCTCTGGTCTGCGTTTGGCTCACAACTAACGGTTCTTTCCAATGGAGATCAGATCCTATTGGTCAGTGGGAGGAGGGGAAATATGTAAAGGGCGGCCATCTTGAAAATGAACAGCTGTTTAAGATTAGTTTTAGCTACCAGCTGCCACTTGCTATGATTTCTGTTTGCCTGGTGTCTGACTGAAAAAATGTTACGAAGCCCTTCATTTTTTTGACGAAAAAAAAGTTTATTTTAAGCCGTTTTTCAGTCGTAATTTAGTCAAATCTAGGCGCACAACAAAAAGACCGACTGTTTTGAGCAGCTTACAATCTAGGCTAAAGATCCTTATCACTTTTAGGGAAATTTATTTTTTGACCCATTTTCGCATTTTATGTAAGGGGTTGTATCATATTTTTTTTCGAAAATTTTTCAAAAATTAAATTTTTCAGATTTAAATGCCAATCGATTGGAAATTTAATTACGAGCTCAACAAGGTATTACATTCGTAATTCTGACCTCCAGTCGAAATTTGACGACCAAAATACTGCATTTTATGTGCAAAAATATGGAGTAATATTTTTTGGCGAAAAATACGTTATTTTTAAGCGGCTTTTAGGTCGTAATTTAGTCAAATCGAGGCGCATAACAAAAAGACCCCCTGTTATGAGCAGCTAACAACCAAGACTATCGATCCCTATCACTTTTCGCGAAATTTATTTTTTGACGAATTTTCGCATTTTTTTTAAGGGGTTGTATCATCTATTTTTTTTCGAAAATTTTTCAAAAATTAAAGTTTGAAGATTTAAATGCCAGTCGATTGGGAATTTAATTACGAGCTCAACGAGGTATCACATTCCTTAATCTGACTTCATTTCTTAATTTGTCGACGAAATTACCGATTTTTTTGTGCAAAAATAGGGAACCTTAATTTTTGACGAAAAATGCGTTATTTTTAGGCAGTTTTTCAGTTGTAATTTAGTCAAATCGGGGCGCACAACAAAAAAAACCGCCTGTTATGAGCAGCTAACAACCAAGGCTATCGATCCCTATCACTTTTGAAGAAATTAATTTTTTGACGAATTTTCGCATTTTTTGTAAGGGGTTGTATCATGTTTTTTTTCGAAAAATTTTCGAAAAATACATTTTTCAGATTTAAATGCCAATCGATTGGGAATTTAATTACGAGCTCAACGAGGTATGACATTCCTTATTGTGTCTCCATTTGTCAATTTGTCGACGAAAAAACTGATCTTTTTTGGGCAAAAATAGGGAGTAGCATTTTTTTTGTCGAAAAATACGTTTTTGTAAAGCCGTTTTTAAGTCGTAATTTAGTCAAATCTAGGCGCACAACAAAAAGACCGACTGTTTTGGGCAGCTAACAACCAAGGCTAACGACCCTTATCACTTTTCGGGAAATTTATTTTTTGACCAATTTTCGCATTTTTTATAAGGGGTTACATCATCCATTTTTGCGAAAAGTGGCCAAAAATTAAAGTTTTATGATTTAAATGCCAATCGATTGGGAATTTAATTACAAGCTCAACGTGGTATGACATTCCTTATTCTGGATCCATTTCGCAATTTCTCCACCAAAATTCGTTCAAAATTAATAAAATCGTCTTACATTTTCTCAATTATTCAAATTGTATGATGCATAGGTTACAGATCCAACACCTAAATAAATTAGTAATATTCAAGTAAATAAAATCATCTTACAGTTTCTCAATTGTTCATTTTGAAAGATGGATATCACAGAAATAGCAACTAAGTAAATTTGGTATATTTAAGTGAATAAAATCTTACAATTTGTCGTCTATGAATATAAACAAAAAGATACACAGATCTATCAACATTTCTTCGGTCAGAAAAAAAGTTAATTATATTTGCTAATAGCTGACAGATGTTCAATATTTGCTAAAAGTTTTAGTTGTCAGTATGCATTTTTTCCTTGGCTAATCAATTTGTATCTGCCTGCCAGCCGATGACACTCATAAAAAGCGCTTAAACAAGACTATAAGCCATAAAAATAAGCCCTCAAAGGGGAATTGAAAAAAGCACAGAGAAACAACAATGGCAAATGCTAATCATGAAACAACTATCAAGCAAACCCAACCTTGACTTTCATACCAAAAACCCAAGCGACAAAGCCCGATTTCGATTTCGAATCCCCCTCCCCTCAAGGTCATTCGCGTCTCTTGCCAAACTCCGTTGGTTTTGGATTTTGGATTCTTTCGGCCAACTGCCATGTCGCTTTTGGCCACAATCGGAAACCGGTAAGAAAAGAAGCCAGCGACATTGACAAGTGGTAATTGATGGGCGAGGGCCGAGTTTTTTCCTCGCTTTTTGGCCTTTTGATTAACATTCAATTGGTCAGCGGGCCAATTGAGACTTTTGTGGGCCTTTCGGGGGAGTAGCTGGCGGTTTCTCGAAAGTATGATTAGTTCGCACCTCAAGGTGGTGGAATTTCGGCGTATTTGGGGATTTGTTGGGAAATTCGGCCAACTGCTGACTCACATGTTATTGGCTAAAATGCAACAAAGGGAGCTTGAAAGTAATTGTCTCAATACTTTACTTTATTTTAAAAGAAATTATGTAATAACTAGACATGGGATTAAATGCAAAACGGTATTTATAACATTTAAATCCAGCTTTGGTCAGATAAAATAATTCTTAAAAAAAATTAAATACGGAGAACAACTTATTTTTAATAATTATAATTGGTATTATTAATATACTACTATACAAGTTTTTTTATCATTAGCTAATTTGCCAAGTAATTTTAGTGCAATTAGGTATTGTTGTTATTTGTTTTAGTTTCGGGAAATTTCTCGACTCAATTCGCAGGCAGACTCTGCATTTTCCCCACTATGCACAGTATCATGTAGCATTTCCTCAAGCTGCGTAACTGGAAGGCCCCTGCTTTCCCCGCCGATGTGGGGCCTATCAATTTGCACAATTGCACACATTTGCCTCGATATGTTAATCTCCCTCGCAGGTTGCACAATCCACTGCAGTTTCGCCGGTGCAGCGAGCAAATTGCTGAAAGATGAGGCAAGTGGGTCACTATTGTTTACACGCCGCTGCGCATGCGTCGCTGCCTTCAGCTTCAAAACCGATTTAAGTTCACCGAAAATGTTTATTTATTCCCCCTTTGGTGCGGAATTTTGTTTTTGTTGATCTTTCGGCTTTGGAGCGGTTTCAAGGCCGCCGAAGATTTCGTGGGACTTGTTGACTTTATCTTGTTATCTGGGCGCGATGCGCGATGTGCGATGTGCGATGCTCACCTGTCGAACTCCACGAGACCCCAAAAACTGGAGCAAGGAAAACCGGCTTTAAGTGGTTAATGGTTGATAGAGGCAAAGTGTTGCATTTATTGAAAAACTTTTATTGAATGCAGGTGGCTCTTTTCAAGGCTTTTTCATGACTCAATTAAGTTTTATCCAGATTATTACAATGTAAAACAAGTTAGGAAATAACTAAAAATAATAAATGCCACAAAATAAATTATTTTTAAATATACAAATATTTGTTTAGGTCTAAATTCTTCATAAAATATTCACAAGTCATTCCTGTTATTTGTCACTGAACGCAAACACTTTAAAAAACAGTATAAATTCTTTTTCCTACAGTTTGGCATCATACATAATTCAATATTTCACATTTTTTAAGGCCAGTATAGCCCGCACCTTGTTTTCCAATTACCAATTTCCATTACACACATTTTCGCATGCTTTTTCATCACACACTCGTTAAAATCCTTGCCCAACACACGCGTTAAAAGCCAGAGGTCAGCAGTGGGTTAATGTTTGCGCCGCTTGCCAAACTCACGCAGCCAAAAAATATTTCCAAAAAATATTTGTAACGTGGAATGCAGCCCAGCGGCAAGAGCAACAAAATAAAAATACAAAAAAATCGAAAAATGGGAAAAACAAACAATGAAACTCACTTTCACGTGGCGCGCTAATCAATCGGCCAATCAATCGAGCACTTCAAAATATATATCTGTAACACTTGAAATCGAAATCGAAACCGAAACCCAAGTGCGTTTGAGCACAAAAAATCGAAGCTGAAGCCGAAAAAACGAAATTTATTTCGGCCGGCAACTTGTTAACTTGGTTACTTGGTTTTGGCGCACGCGAAAGAGAACTAAACGCGAGCGGCGGCCAAATTGTTTAAACTTTATGCAGCCTCAAAAACTAAAAACTACAGAAAAACATAAAACCGACGGCGCAGTCGACGGCGGCAGAGGCCGTTTCAAAGAGCCAAACGAGGCGGTACAGGCCCAAAACCTGAAACGAACCGAGGCGCCGGCACAGTGAACACAGGCCAGAATAATGGGTTAATTGAAAAAGGCCTAAATTACATTTTATTAGAATTTTACATTTTTTGAAAACAGTTAAGCTAAATAAAATTCAAAAACTCCATTCTTTGTTTCTGTCTTCTAAATATATTTAATTAAATATTGCATTCAGAAAATAGTATTTGTAATTTTAAGAACAACCTATTAAAATAATAAAAAGAGTCACTATATTATTGATATTATTCTAACAACTGTTCAAAGCATGGACAAAATGTATAAAATATTTTTTGTCTTTTAAATACATTTAATCTAGCTAAGTCCTTAAGAATATTGATTTCCTAAAATAATATTTATTTATAGAACAATTTTGATAAATAATTAAAAGCAAAATAAATATTTGAGCCAATTCAATTCACATATATATAAAATAAAGGAAATACAAAATACATTCAAAGGAATACATAAAATCAATATATTGTCTAAGGCACACATAGTTCCAAAGCAACATTTTTTTGAACAGGGCTTAAGCCTTATTTAAATGCTAAAAAAGTGTTTTCAAATGATTGTAAATTACAAAAAGCTGCATAAAAAATTTTTGCTTACTTTTTGGCCAACCGCAACCACTGTGCCAAGTCAGGCTTGAGAAGTGCAGTCAAGTGGACGTCGCCGTCGACGCAGGCAGAGGTATGGGCAGCGGCGGCGGCAGAGGCTCGGCAGCTCGCTGCAGAGTAAACGCTGTAAACGACACAAGCTGCAAATGCTGCGGATCACAACAACAGCAGCAACAGCAACAGCAACATGGCCAAGACAACAGAGAGCCAGGTTAAGAGCTCAGCTGACGCGGCTAAATGCTTGGGACATTGCATAATATCTGGGTAATGGCAGCCGCACCGTGGGCCTTGGCCAGAGATCGAAATCCAGAGTATCAACTCTCAAATTTGCGATAAATGCAGTTTTTCTTCAGAGCCAAGAACCCATTTTGAAGACCCCTTAAAGCCAAACGAAATCACATTTAAAAATGCATTTAACTGGGCGACAAACGCATTCAAACACTCAACAAAACACTTACAAAACGTCCCCGCAATTCATAGAGAAAGAAGCCAGCCAACCGGCAACCTTTTCTTGTTTTTCGCCAAATTGTAAGGGACAGGCCATGATTTTTTAGCCTCTGTTGCCTCTGTTGTTTATGCAATAATCGCACTAATTGAAACGTTTTGTCAGGAGCCACGGCAATAGCAACAATGGCGATAACACCATCAAACACACAGACAATTGTTTAATTGCCTTCATTTTTATGATAGTGCAAAAACACAAAAACACAAAAAAGCGAGAAGTAGAGGAAACGCTTAAAAAGCGACACATTTTTTGCACTTTACTTTTTGGATAAAACTAAAACATTTTTTTGATATGTTTATCACAATGGCAGCGGCAGCAGCCAAAACGAGACCAAAAAGCAAGCGGCTGAAATTAAATAAAATAAAAACATTTTCACTCCGGATGCGTTCGCAATGTAAGTTTGGGCAGCGACATTTAAAAACCGGAACCGAAAGGTACAAATTCACCGAAATTCATTCGAATAAAGCAGGCCGAAAAGGTAAGGCTAGGGGCTCTTGACCATTGAATACCTTTTAAATTAGTTAGAATATTTATAAACAAATTTACAGGACGTTTAAACATCATAGTCCAATCTACAAATCATCAAAATACACCTGGATAACAGAAAAACAAAGTTGTAATGCATTGCAAATTTGTTTATTTACTTTTCGTCCTTCCATAAACTGAGGACTCCCATTTATTTCACTTTTTTGTGTGATTAATTAAGTAAAATACGGACTCAAGTTGAGTTGGATAATTGTAAACGAGAGAGCCAAATTGCACAAAATGGTCTCAATTAAGGCCTGCTGCCTGTGTGCAAACAAATAAATTTTATTTAATTAAAGTACTGAAAATAAAAGTAACAATCCCACACCCCCAGCGAAACATTTGCAGATAAACTTTTATGGCATTAAATGCAAAAATGCCGACAGTTGCAGATGCAATTTGCAAAAACCATGGATGGTTTTTGGAATTTTGTAAAGAAAAACTAAGTGCATTTAAAAATGTTTGTTTAGCTTGAACCATTTTCATAAAAATCACCAGTAAAGGTTATTTTAAATCATTAAATTTACGAAGATCGCAAATATTGCTGACATTTTGCGAAATATTTTTATGCGAAATGGTAATTAAATATTTATGCGATTTAAATTTGGCAATTTGGAAGTATCCTTTATCCTTTTCGGAGAGTCGCCGCCCATCGTTTTCGGTTTGTTCAGAACCCAGATCCCTGTGGGCCTTGCATTCTGCAGTTGTGTTTGTGCATTTGTTTTGGGCATAAATGAAATATGCATATCGTAATATGCAGTTGGTAAAATGTCGGTTTTCGGTATTTGTTAAAGTATTTTGTCGGCCATTTCATATTATTGTTTTTCCATCCGATCCACCTGCCCCCTTCCCCAACTGTCGCCCCGAGTGTTTATTCCTCAATGTTTCTGCATTTTTAAAATATATGTATTAATTTTCCAGCAACAGCAACAAGAAATGTGTGCCAAATGCAGGACAAGTTGAGCTGCAACTTTTTGTTGCACTCTTTTCGTTAGATTTCGATTTGATTGTCGAACAAAAATGTCCCATTCCTTAGTCTGCACCCTTTTTTTGTCACTTTTCATCCGTTTGCCACATTTTTGATAAATACAATTTGGCCAGAGCTGGGAAAATTCCTCAATTTCATATTTGGCCAATTGCTTTTAATTGGGTGAATTATAAGGTTATTCGATTGCAGGCTGCAGAGATATATTTTAATAAATGCCAGCACTTGACACTGGCCATCAATAATTCTCATGCAGTTTGGCATACGAAAATGTTTTCAAATTCTTATTTCTGTGTAAGACGGGTCCTATCTGCATATCATTTAAATATATTTTTCTGAATTTACTTCTGGCTTTTTGAATAGAACTTTAGTAATTTTAGATTAATGTTTACATATTTTCAAAATACTCATTTAATTTTGTTTATTTTTTGTTAACTTACATAGGTTTTTATGAATTTCGGTTGAAGAGTAAGCCGCTTTTCCTTCCAGGACTTCCAGTTTTCACTTGTTGATTCCCTATCTCTCTCTCTCTCAGTGTCGAGACTCACCACCACCGAACTCAACTCCACCACACCCCGCAGGACACACGAAGTAGGATCCTTTGGAGTTCGTCCTCAGTTGCTTTGGGCCTTTTGAACCGGCAACATTTGCTGGGGTATCCCCCATGATTTTTCTCCCCAATCTATTCCCTCCATTCGGAAAATGCAAAAAACTACGAGTCCCATTGGGCTGCCTTCGACCCCACTACATAACAATGAAAATATAATTTTAGTGCCTAGTAAAAATCCATGGCCATGTATAAAACTGTTCGTTACGCTTCGCCTTTCCTTGCCTGCTTCAACTTTTACTTTTCCTTTTCCCAATTTTCCTTTTGCGTGTAGTCAAAAAGGGGGCACATAAAAAAATCGAGAGGAAAAATGTAACCAAAAAAGATTATTATGAAAAAACGCCCGCAAAATCGAAAAAATGGCGGGGAAAACTATGAAAATTTAGCTGAGAATGATATCGGGGCAAGTCAAATTTAATTTCACGCTTTGCTAGTTCGCTCTAACCCGCTCCGAAGTATTAATAAAAACGAAATTCTAATAAACCATGTTAGGGAAATGTTTGGTGGTTAAAAAAAGGAGAGGCAAACAGAGATTTCCATTTTTATGGAGTATAGGATTTCTCAAACAATATTTTTTTTGGATTTTCTCGTAATTATCAAAATAATCTTCAGTTTACAAATGATTTGAAAAAAATTGAATGTTGCTATAATTATATATTCTATTATTATTCAAAATAATATTTTTGAAAAGTGCTAAGATATTAAGCATTGTTTCTTTTAAATTATCCCATGATTGGCTATTGATTTTCTAATCTTTTATTGCTTTGAACTTTTCGAAAAAGAAAATAAACAGTACAAGTTCAAATAGTTTTCCGCCCTTGAGTTCTCCGAAATTCGCCAACGGAATTCGGTGAAAGTTTCGGCTGAAAGTGAAAGTAATTTTTATTTATGCGCGGCACAAGGATAAGTGTTTCGGTGGGGGGGATTGATGGGCGGGGTGGGAGGCCTCACACAAAATTGCCCAGCATTATGCCAAAGCAAATTGCAAGCACAAAGAGGAAAACTAAAGGAGATGGCTGGGACACACACACATGTAGCTGTATCTTGGCCATAAACAATGAAATTTGTTGCTCACTTTTATGAGTTCCTTCCCTCAAACACCGGGGAAAGTGGGGTGAAAGTGGGGTGAAAGTAGGGGAAAGTGGGGGAAGGGGTGGGCCACGGTGATGGGACAGCATCAACATACTCGCCTGTTGGCTGCC